ACATTGCGGGACTCCCGCTGCATTGCAAGACACATCCCTGCATTGCAAGAGCCCCCTCGAATTGCAGGACCCCCCCCCACATTGCGGGACTCCCGCTGCATTGCAAGACACCTCCCTGCACTGCAAAAGCCCCCTTGAATTGCAGGACCTCCCCACATTGCGGGACCCCCACTGTATGGCAAGACCCCTCCTGGAATTGCAGGAGCCTCCTTGAATTGCAGGACCCACACACACATTGCAAGTCCTCACTGCATGGCAAGAGCCCCGTTGAGTTGCAGGACACCCCACACACACACATTGCAAGACCCTACTGCATTGCAAGACTCTTCCCTGCATAGCAAGACCCCCCTTGAATTGCAAGACCCCCACTGCATGGCAAGTCCCCTCCCTGCGTTTCAGGAGCTTCCTTGAATGGCAGGACCCCCCCACACACACTGCAAGACCCTTCCCTGCATTGCAAGAGTCCCATTGAATTGCAGGATCCCCCACCACATTGTGAGACCCCACCACATGGCAAGACCCCTCCCTGCATTGCAGGAGCCCCCTTGAATTGCAGCCCCCCCCAATGCAAGGCCCCACTGCATGGCAAGACTCATTCTGGCATAGCAGGAGACTCCTTGAATTGCAGGACCCCCCCCTACACTGGAAGACCCCTTGGCATGGCAAGACCCTTCCCTGCATTGCAACAGCCCCCCTTGAACTGCAGGACCCCCCCACACTTTTTTTCCCCTCATTGCAAGACCCCCCATGCTTTGCAGGACCACCCCCCATTATAAGACCACCCCCTGCGTTGCAAGACACCCCCTTGAACTCCAAGTCCCCCTCCTGCATTGCAAGAATCCCTCAGCATTGCAAATCCCCATCCCACTGCAAGACTCCTCCTACATTGCAGGACCCCCCCTGCACCCCTTTGCCGCCCCCGGGGCTGTTGGCCACGCTGCAGGGCTGCAGGACAGAAGGGGAGAAGGGTGAACGACGCTGTGGCCCCCTGCCATCTCTGAGCCATCCGAGCGCCCTGTGCCAGACACCAGTGAGGCTGGAGCATCTGGGCCCCAGGGAATCTGAATTCCCCCAGCAAAGCCAGAAGCAAAACACGGGCACTGCTGTGCAAGGGGGGTATTTCGAGGCCATTTCTCAGGGTGTAGGTGAGCAGCGTTGCTGTGCACGTCTGAGGCCATGCTCCAGTGGCACGTACGGCAGGGCCAGCCCCAGGATGGGGAGGCACCGCACCCTGGAAGGGTGCTGCCCGCTGCTCCTTGGGGACAGGGACACTTCTCATGTCTGTAACATGGAAACGAACCCAGATAAAGAGGAGCATGGCTGGGGTGGCAGGGGGGAGCTGGCTGGGGGAAACGAGCTGTTTGCTGGGGAAATGTGCAGAAACAGAAAATCGGAGAAAGAGGGATGGGAGGGACACGGGATGTTTTTCAGGTGGCCACAGAGGCCTCTGAACCGCCTGCCCTGGCTGAAGCGGGACAAGGGAAGGGCTGGAGCGTGGGCGCAGGTGGGAGGGTGCAACGGGGTGTGCTCAGGGCTGGCTGGCACAAAGACTTCCCCCAGGCTCACAGCCCCCCTGGGGCAGGGCTGTATCCAGCCCCCATCTCCCCAGGCCCTCCAGGCTCCACTGGTTCTGCACTGGCCGTACTGGTTAGAGCCACTGTTCCACCTCCAGGCTGGCACAACCGCCCCGGGGCAAACCGGAGAGCTCTGGATGGGGTTTGTTTTCCTGGATGCCTCAGCCAGAACTGCTCTATGCTTGTGCTTGCCACGCAGCCGTGCAAATCTGGAGAGACAGACAGACAGACCGACCATTTGCAACCAGAACCAACCCCACAGCCTCTCAGCTGGGTTGGAAACAAATCCTCCCCCCCGCCCAGCTCCAGCAAGCAGAACTGCATTTGTCTTGCAAAGCCATTTTGCTCCTCTTGCTAAAAGCACCCGGGCGTTAGGACCCGGCCGCGAGGCCGAGCAGCTGCCCGGGCCCACAGCTGCCGGGATCTGCCTTCTCCTGACACAGCAGGCAGATGGTGGCGAGGCTGAGAAAGAAATGGCTTTTCTGCTCGACAAAAAAAAAAAAAAATAGCAATTATGCAGGGAAAAAAAAAAATGCCCTGTTTTCTCCCCACCGCCCAGCAGTGCAGCGTGGATAGCTGGCACCGCCTGGCTCAGCGGGGCCTGCCCTTGCTGAGCAGGCAGCCTGCCTGCACCCACCCTGCCTGCACCCCCTGCTCGGGGGGGATGGAAGAGCCCCAAATGCTATCTGAGACATCCCCACATATCACTGTGGTGGCAAAGTGCTCCCCAGCCTGGGGACTCAGCGGCCAAAACCTGTCTCCCAAGCATATTCGTGTGTGCCAGGTGCGCTGGAGCAGTAAGAAAGGCACTGGGTTTTCCTCTCTATATTGCATTTCCCGTCGTCTTTGCAAGCCACCATGACTAAATGCTTCTGAGGTCAGCCCCCCTGCAGCCCTCCCACCGCCGCTCCCGCAGGAGACCCAATCCCTGGCGCACGGCATCCATGACAAGGGCTTTCCGGAGCGCGGCCGTGTCCCCTCTGGAGGGGCTGCGTGACTCACCCGCTGGGACTTCAAATAAACCCTGGCTCCAAAAAAGAAAAGCAAAAAGAAAAGGAGCCCCGGTCGTGGAGTGACCCTTGTCTTGCCTGCCTCAGGCACAGAAACGCCCTTGGATTTTCATGCTTGCCTGGACGCTTTTTGTTGCAGCTTGGCTTCGTTTGCAAGCAATCCCGGGGCTTTTAGACAAGCTCCTGAAATCGGGCTTGAACACAGAACTGGCGGCCGGGGCCGCTGCAGGGAGGGCAGGTTGCAGGGCACACGGGCACGGTGCCAACGACAGGCACGAGGGGCTTGGAAGGGGGGCAGAGATGGCAAACACAGCGTACAGCAATGTCTGATGAAGCATTATGGGGGTCCAGCGGGTTGTTTCATCCTTGTGTCCCCCGGGAGGAAAGAGGAGCCATCCCAGGGCAGCAGGAGATGTCCCTGGATAAAGGGGCAGCGTGGAGGCAGAGGCACGAGGCCGAGGCGCAGTAGCCGGGGGATGCTTTGGGCTGTGTGTCCATCCCTCTCCCCTCCTCCGGCACACACAGCCCCTTCGGGCATGGCTGTGTCACGGGGTGTCCGGAGCCGGTGCGGCTGGGTCACCCCTCAGAGCGTGGCTGTCCTCTGGCTTCAAGCCACATCTCAGCCACCAGCCCGGCCTGAGCCCTCCTTGTCCTTGGTGCAGCCATTTTGGGCTTGCTGCGAGGGGGCTGCTTGCAGGTTTTCATCCCAGCGGCACCGTGATGGCATGGGGGACATGGGCTGGCTTACGGCCACCTGCTTCCCCTGGGACCCCTGTGTGTTGCAAACCCTGGCTTGGTGTCGCTGGCACGTGCAGACAGACGTCCCAGGGTGTCAATGTCCCTTGTGGTGGTAGCAGTGGCTGCGAGATGGCCAAGGTTGGCCTGGGAAGCCCCCCCAATGCGGGTACCCCCCTTACACTATGGAGGGGCTTGGCAGAGATTGAGGACTACATTGCTGGGTGGCCACCACCTCTCCAGCCACCTCCATCCCCACGCAGGACAGGGCTTGGTGACAACAGGAGCCCTTGTGCAGGACGGGGTGACCTTGTGCAGCCCAGAAAGCTGTCTTCTGGTGGGATAAAGGGCTTTGCCAAAACTAGCTGGTGACCAGGGACCACTGGACCAGGGCCAGGAACAAGCCCCAGGCAGAGCCCCAAAACCCTGGCGGGAGGCTGCATCTCCCCGGGGTCCCCAATGTGTCCCTTGCCACTGTTGGGGGCCACGGGGGACACCCCAGGGTGCCCGGCTGCCCTGGCCTCACTGCCATATGCCGCCAGGCAGCTCAGCAGAGGTTCTCCAGCGGCTCTCCCGACAGTTGGCAGGCGCCCCGGCCTCATTAAAATTGTATTAGGCAGTATTTAAAAAAAAAAAGCAGTAGCACCAGGGAAAACAAAGGGCAGCCCTAAGAGAGGGGCTCGGAGTGGCGGATCACGCTCCGGGGGAGTTTTCCCATGGGATGCTGCCCCGAGGGGACTTGCCCAGCCCCATGACCCGGGAAGCAAGGGATGGCAGCGGAGCATCATCGGGGCTCTGACGTGTCCCTGCGTCTCGCGGCCATTAGGAGTGGTCGTGGTACCGGCCATGGCGCTTGCTCGGTGCTTTATTAGCCAGGTTTATTCTGTTAGCCTAATTTAATTGTGTCCAGAGTGTAATAAGAGAGGGAAATGCTTGAAGTGCACTGTTTAAAAAGGTTTGGGTGTTGGGCATAGGCAAGCCTCAAACAAATGAAGGAAGAAAGTGGATGGGAAAGCACATATGGCTGGGCAGCCCTGGGCTTGGGGACTTTGTCCCTCTCTTCCTGCTCAAGCTTGTTTTCTGGTGTGTTTTTTACATTATCAGAAGCTAAGGCAAAAACCTGCCCCTTCCTCCAGCTCCTGTAGAGAACCTCACGGAGATGGGATGGAGGCCGGACCCTGGTTCATCCAGCAGGAGAATGAATTTTATTAGGAAATCTTAAAAGACCTTTTGTGTAGCAGTTCTTAACCTCGGCGGCGGGGATGATGCTCTTTGTCCTGGACCCAGAGCCCTGCCTGGTCCCCGGGGGCTCTGCCAAGGCACCCGTAACCCCATGGAAGTGCCTGGAGCAACACATGCAAGACACAGGGCATTTTGTGGGCCAAAATAATCAGATAGCAGGGGATGCTTTCCAGCCTTCAAAAAAAAAAGACCAAAAAACCAGGAAAAACCAAAAAAAATAGGGATGTGTCCATTCTTTGCTGCCTGTCTTGCAGCAAAACACGGCAACTTTTGCGAGTGGAGGGTGCGAGAGCCTTGGGGCCTTTTTGCAGTCCTTCAGGGGGAAAAATAAGCTGCGTCCATGTGATGGTGACAGGTTCCCACAGTGCCTCCCTGGCCCATGGGCGATGTGGCAGCAGCCCTGCTGTGACATGAGTAGGGGAGGCTCTTGCCAACCGTCACGGTGTGTTTGCCTCTTGCTGGTCACCCACATGCAGCCCGGCGGTGAATTTTATCCCCAAAACCACTTCAGAGGAGGTTCCAGCAGCAGGCGATGACGGCTGCCCTCCTCCCCTGGTCTGCTCCAGGGTGGAGGTTTCAGCCAGGGCCGGGGTCGGGTGAGTCCCTGGCAGCAGGATGGTGATGCCAGGGGAAGCCACAGTGGTGCCGCTGCCCAGAGGTGCAACGAGTGCCCATGTGCTCAGCTCTCACCTGCAGCTTGCACCCATCAGTGCAGAAGCTGCAGCCACAACCCAAACCAGAGGCCCAAGAAGCAGACTTCAGTGCCAGCCCCACCGCCCAGCACACATCCCTGCTTTTAATTCCCTGCTGCAGCACAGAGTCAGCGCGGAAGAATTTGCAGGGAAGAAGAAAGTGTGTTATCAGCATCTGCCCACGCAGCTCTCCAAAATAACACGGTCCCAGCCACTCGGCAGTGCCAGGCGGAGCAGGTGACTCAGCTTGCGACAGCAGCTCCTGTCTGCTCTGGTTTTTCACTCATGCCCGGATCCATGTTTCCTGCTGCAGCCGGTGCACCATGCCCGATGCATGGCCCCAGCACTGCCTCTGCTCATGGCCTCGTCCGGGGCTGCCAAAGGGTTTGATGGGCAGAGGAACAGCACTGCCTGAATCCCCAGGGCATGGCTGCTCTCGCCAAACCCACAGTGTGCCGAAAAGCTGGTCTGAGCACGGTTGGGATGGAGTCCCCATCCGCACACGACACCGCTGCAATCAGACACAACGCATTGGCTCCGTCCTCACCTTGGGATGGCACACAGTGCATCCCAAAGAGGACGTAAGAGGGATGAAGAAGCCTTGGAACAGCTGGAGATGAGTCAGAGGGTGGCAGGGATGGACATCAGGAACAGGGGACAAGAAGGCAAGCAGGCCAGGAGGAAGCCACCCAGGATGGGGGATGAGGAGGAGGAGGAGGCAGCAGCGGCTCATGTGTTTGCCATCATCCCAGCATCTTGCTGGAGGCTCAGCTTTGGAGTGGGTGCATGGGCACCCTTTGCAGGATCCTGCTGCAGGGGGCTGGCACTGAGACCCCTGTCCCCTCAGGTGCTGCACCCTGCGGGTGCACAAGTTTGTGTGCAAACCCCTCCAGCTCTGTCTGGAGAGAAACCCAGACCAAACCCTAACAGGACCAGGGGGGTTCCCCCCAAACACCCGCAGAGCGGGGGGCCCATCTCTTTAAGGATGAGGTAGCAATAATAGGAGCAGTAATAGGAGCCAGCTGGGAAGCCCTGGGGATCCCTACAAAGGACTGACAGAGGCAGGGAGAAACCTTTTACAGTCTGTGGCTTGGGAGGAGTTAAGGGTTCTTTTTGACTCCTTTGTGGAGGTATCAGGGCACTCTGGGGTACGATGCAGGGCTGCAGCAGTGTGTCACCCCACACCCCCAGTGGGGAGCACCGGGGTAGGTGGGGGCTGGGGTTTTGGCCCAGGGAAGGGGCTGGAGGCAGTGGTTTGAGGATGAGGGGGCGTCAAACCTCCCTGCCTAGGCAAGGCCTCACCAGCTGTGCCTTTCTGGGCCTTCCAGATGGATAACTCCATTGTTGATGGTGAAAAGAGTCCATTAGTCAGGATTAGGAACAGGGCCTTTGGGGATTAGCCCTGCACCTCCCACCTAGCCCTTCCCTGCCTCCTGCGGGTGCTGGGCTGGGGGGGGGGGGGAGCATCTCTGTCTCCTTGGGGCACTGTCCCCCCTCTGTTTTTGGATGCAGGAGGGAATGGGCTCCTGTTGAGCTGTCCGGCTGACAAACGGGGAAGTTGGCAGAAAGAGGTGAGTTGGGACCCCAAGCGACTGGATATCCTGCTCCCCATTGCATTTCCTCATGTGCTTGCAAACCCACCCCAGCAGCAGCAGCAGCCCTCAGATGGGGGGGTGTCTGCAATCCGTGGCACTGCTCGTCCCGGTGGCACCGCTGGCAGCCGGTGCACGGGACCGTGCCACCTCGGCCACTGACCTGCTGGTAGAGAGAGGCTGCTGGAAGGGAGGAGGGAGCCTTTGGGGCGAGCAGAGACCTCCCTGCTCTCACTCAGTGCAGGTTGTGCTTCTGTAGGGTCAGGGGCAGCTGCGGGCCAGGGGTGTTCCAGGCTGCAGGAGGGAAGGGAGAGTTATCCCAGACCAGGATTTTGGCTCTTGGACAGCCTGGGAGTCCTTGCAGCCCCTCATTTCTCTCCTTGGGTACATCCATGCCCGTCTCCCTTTAGTATCTGAGCTTTCCATGCATTCTTACAGGGCCTCAGTGAGGCTGGAGGGAGCTTTGCACCTGGGGAAACTGAGGCAAGGGGAGTGGAAAACCACATCTGGGATGAAAACAGAGGCCGTCCTTCCTGCAGGGTCTGCAAGGAGGGGTGGTAGGGCTGGGGCGGAGGGGGGGACACCCAAAATTTGGAGCTGCTTGTTGAATTGAGCACGACTCCCCATGTGCTCTGCAAAGAGGTGCTGGCTCGGACCTCCGGCTCGGCAAACCTGGGGGCTCCTGCTGTGAAACCGGTGGCAATGGGAGCCGGGGGGGCTGTTGCCTCCTCCATCCCACCGCTGCTGTGAAACCGGTGGCAATGGGAGCCGGGGGGGCCGTTGCCTCCTCCGTCCCACCGCTGCCGG